GATAGATAGATAGATAGATAGATAGATAGATAGATAGATAGATAGATAGATAGATAGATAGATAGATAGATAGATAGATAGATAGATAGATAGATATGGGGGAAGCACAGCACTGCATGGCTCTTTGCTTGATTGAGAGTATCCAAAACAAATAAGCAAATATGGTAGGCTAAAGTAATAAAGAGAAACTTGAGAGAGAAGAATGGCTGGTGGAAAGCAACCTCATCAAATTACCTTCTGAAAAACAGGTATTTTCTGTTTAATCATAAGCGTACCACAACAACCTTTCTGAGTGTATCCTTGACATGCACTCAAAGCTTCAAGTACTTTCACTGGCCTAAAAATGTGGGCTTGGCTTCAAGGAGTTCTTACTTGAGTCCACCAAACTCTTTTACGGAGGCCATGAATCTGGATTGGGGGGGGGGGGGCACAAGTTTATTTTCTGTACCCTCTCCCTGAAATCTAGCTTTTTATTCAAACATTTAAATAGGCAGCAAAATAATGTATGGACTTGAGACTCCAAAAACATCTAACTTCAATATATGTTGCTATCTAAAATTATTATACTCTTACAATGTACTGTCTTGTAATTGATTTTGTTGAATATTACTATATTACATATTTGCTATTTTTAATGCTTCGCTAATAGTACCCTTAGCTTCCTCAGTAGCACAATCTATTTCTTCATGTTTTATTTTATGTGCTTAGGTATATTTTTCAAAAAAGGGTTCCATGTATGTCACCAAACTTTGAAAAAGGCTCATGACACAAATATGTTTAAGAACCCCTAACTCCATTGCCTGAACCATCATAAACTCTCTAAGCAGTGCAAGGAGATAGTTTAACAGCTTTCCATATGCCAGTGATGGCTAACATTTTTGTTGTTGCATGTCGAAAGCGCAAGCACGGGTGCAACAGCACACCTGCACCCAAAGTATGTGCGATACTCCCCTGCACCCTGCCCTCCCTCATATGCACATGTGACTCCTTGTGCATCCACATGAGATCCACCTCTGCTCTCCTGGCCCACGCATACGCACACTGGTCCCCCCTCGCCCATTTTTTGCTTCCAGGTTGGTGGAACAGGCTTTCCAGGCCCAAAATGGGGCGCAAGGAATCTCGAGTGGTGCCCCTGCACCCTATTTTGGGCCTGGAAGGCCTCATGCACCAAAATGGAAGCCAAAACGTGGTGCAGGGGCACCGAGTGAGGCCCCAAAATTCAATGTGAGCGCCCCCCTGTACATGTGGCCTGCCTCCCGCACATGCACTGCAGAGACCTGAAGACCAGCTGGCCGATGGGAGGCACGCACGCATGCACAGTGGAGCTGGATTTGGCCGACAGCTGGGGTGCCCGCAGAGAGGGCTCTATGTGCCACCTGTGGCATGCATGCCATAGGTTCGCCATCATGGCTATATGCTCTCCCCAATGGCTCAGCACAGCTGGCTCATCCTTAAATCCTACAGCAGGAGAACAGAACAGAGTTATTGTTTCTAAGCAGCTTCTAATGCAGCATATAATACACTGTTCCCAAGCACAGTTGCCACTTATAACATATATACTTCCATATACTTACACTATATGTCATCTTTGCACTTACACTACTTATATGGGATGTCTGAATGGCCAGTTCAGTATTAATTCATTTCCAAGGCGGAAGAAAAAAAAGAAGCATCTAGCCATGCACAGGTTTCACAACTCCTCCCCCCCTTCATATTTGCAGGTAAAAAAAACAAGTCAAAAGGCCTTGATTCACTCAAGGAATGGAGTTCAGCACTCCTTCTTTTAGAAGTTTAGCTTCCCCTAGCTTCAGTTTCCATTTACGCTTATTGCCTGGATTTGTTCAGTAAGATGTATTAAGCTGAAATAAACCAGGAAAGACATAGCACAAGATATTGTAGAAACGCAATCCCTTTTGCAATGTGTTATGCAAAGTGTGCCATTTCCCCCTACTCTACATGGTTCACCTGGCTGGGCACAGCAGCATGTAATGCAAATATAGGTTGCTGACCAGAGGTGGTATTCAGCAGGTTCTGACCAGTTCTGGAGAACCGGTAGCGGAAACTTTGAGTAGTTCAGAGAACCGGTATATAGCACTCTGACTGGTTCCTCCCCCATCTATTCTCTGCCTCCCAAGTCCCACCTAATCAGGAGGGAATAGGGATTTTGCAGTAACCGTCCCCTGGAGTGAGGAGGGAATGGAGATTTTACAGTACCCTCCCCTGCCATGCCCACCAAGCCACACCCACCAAGCCACGCCCACAGAACCAGTATTTAAAAAAATTGAATCCCACCATTGTTGTTGACTTACAACTATTCATTTAGTCACAGTTTGAAGTTATAACAGCACTGAAAAGGGGACATGACCATTTTTCACACTTATGACTATTGCAGCATCACCACGATAAAAATTCAGACACATGTCAACTGACATGTATTTGACATTTGCAATGTCTGGGAGTCATGAGATCACCATTTGTGACCTTCTGACAAACAAAGTCAATGGGGAAGCCACATTCACTTAACCGTGTTATTAATGTAACAACTGCAGTGATTTCATAACAGTGGCAAGAAAGTTCATTAAATGGGGCAAAACTCACTTAACAACTTGTCTTGCTTAACAATGGAAATTATGGGCTCAATTGTGGTGGTAAGTCAAGGACTCTGTAGTTTAGGATTTGGGTTGTAAGAACCTAGTTACTAAATTTATCTCCTTGGGATATATATACATAAAGTAGCCCTTTCCAGGTTGTTATTTTTCCATTTTCTTGGCCTATAATGAACCAACCAGCAACTGAAAATCACAGTATTAGAGGAAAACATGCCCTTTGTTCAAATGTGAGTTTTAGTAGATGCACGCTGACTTCCCTCAGGACAATATTACCCAAGATGTTAACACATCCTGGCAGTTAGGTGAGGGGGAAGGAATTCACACTGTACTGCTAATCCCTGTAACAACCCGGTTTGGCGTTCTTTTTATTTACTTTGGGCATTGTGTGTCCTACCCAACAATGCTTGATAAAAAGAGAACCCTAGGACCCCTGCTGATTGCTCCCACCAAAAGTTAGGCATTCCCCCATCAGTCTGCCAACTTCCAGGAACATAAACTGTCTGTTTTTGAGACAAATGTCCCCTTCCAATTACCTGTTAGTAGCAGCTGCTCAGAATCTGAGAACAATCAGCTGTTGCCTTTTCTGAACACCAAAGTAAACAGGTTGGATTTCTGGAAAGTTTTCTGTGACCTGCCTTTTCAGCAGGACCCGGGGAATCCCTTCCTGCCTATGTACAATTATTTCCATCCTGGCCTTTTCCTCCTCCACTCTGTCACCAACAGGTGGACCCCACCCGTGAGTGGGATTAGCTACAAGCAGAGGGCATGGGGGAAGCTTTCCTAGGGTCATCCGTCTTCCAGGGGAAAGAAGGGAAGCCCACGCCATGCCCACCGCTGCTTTGCGGAAAAGCCACAGTCGGGGCCCTCTGAGTAATTCCACCCGCTCGTCCTAGGGAACTTTAGTCCCCAACAGGAAAAAGGGCTGCTTCGTAGCAAATAGTGGATCACTTTTTCCCTTCAGGCATACTGGGCTGCAGCCCCATCAACGCCAGCCGACAGGACCCGTTTGAAGAAAGCTGTGTCCAAGTGTGAAACTAGGTTTCTGCCACTCAATGATACTTCTTTGCGCTTGCCAGCTTAACATCGCCACCCTCATAACCACCACCGCTCCAACCCACCCTTCCCTATAGCCCGTCGGTCTTTTGTGCTAAACTGTCTACATATATATTCGGGATCCTCTCCAAAATGCACCACCTGCACCGACAACCACTTTTATATTTGCTCTGCTGCTGCTGCTGCTGCTGCTGCTGCCGCCGATTTGTTTCGTGGGAACAGCCTTTCTTTACTCACATTCTCCACACTTTTTACCTTTTTACCACTTCATTTTCCTCCCTCGCTATTTCTGCATTTTCTTAAAAACAAACAATGGGTTACTCTGTTAATTCTTGCGTTTCAGACCTTGGAACCTGCCGCCAGGTTTCACTTGCTCTGCAACCTTCCCGCTTTTCTTCCCAAAGCTTCTGAATTAGACGCTTCCCCTTTAAGACAACCCAAGCTCCACTGCTGGCTTCCTCTCATAGTTTTTTTTTTAAATCATCTTTCCAATGACCTAGTTTCCGTTTATAGATAAAAGCAGCGGGGGCTGTTGGGAAATGTAGTTTCGATTCTGAGCTAAAAGTAGTAAACATCTGTAAATGCTCATAGGAGTGATTTGATGTGTTGGATCCTATTTCAAATAAAAAGCATAGTATACAATGTTTCAGAAATGTCACTGCAATTATCTGAATTCTGCATCCTAGCCCCCAAATCTCACAATCAAAAGCATTTTGTTATAAAGTCACTTTAAAAAATAATTTTGTTTTTGAGTATTTTCATTTTATTCCAAACTTCAGGTCTAGCATTATTTCCTATTAATTGCAATAGTAATGTTGCAATATGGTAGTTACAATAATTTATTTTGATTGAAGGCTATCTTTAGCTTAAAACTTTGAATATATTACATCATAAACTTTTGTAGACTATAAACCAACTTTATTAGATGTATGAAATATTATAATAGTTTAAGACATGGGTGTCCAACTTTTTACTTGCCTAGGCCACATTATCTTGGGTTACATATATAAAACAGTGAATGTATGCAAATAACAAACTTATTTTATTGTTTAATATTTTTATTATATCTTGTAGCTGTAGTTGTAGTTGTAGTTTATTCAATTTGTATGCCGCCCTATTCCCGAGAGACTCAGGGCGGCTAGCAACCAAGGGGGAAGCGGATACAAATAAGAAAATAAAAGACAAACAAATTAAAATAGAACAACAGTCACAGTTGCAAATGGGGCTGGAAACAACCAGGTCTTAGTGGCTTTGCGGAAAGCCGGGAGGGTGGTGAGGGTCCGGATCTCCACGGGGAGATCGTTCCAGAGGGCCGGAGCAGCCACAGAGAAGGCCCTCCCCCGAAGAGTTGCCAGTTGGCACTGGCTGGCAGTTGGAATTCGGAGGAGGCCTAATCTGGAGGGCCACATTGCTAATGTGGGCTGCGAGCTGCAGGTTGAGCACGTTTGTTTAAGAGGATACAGATACATTCATGAGATTGATTGAGACGGAAAAGAAGAAGAACAAGGAGTGAGTGGAATGGATTGTTGATAGGTGGAATGATGATAATAACTTTATTAACAGTAGCCACCAGGGACGTGCAGTCACTAGAGGCAGGGGAGGCATGGCCTCACCAGTCATGAGGAAAAGGAAAGAATTTTAAAGAATTTTTAAAAAATAATTAAAGCCAAGGTAGTTGCTGCCAGATTCCAAGTCACAGTGGCTTGGAGTCTGCTTAGTGTTAACTTTAGGAGGAGGAGAGAGAACTATGGGCCTCCTGTGCATAAGGAATTTTTCGCCTTTTAAGAGTTAAGCAAGGGCTAAAAAGCAAAGTTTCATATGCAAAGGAGGCACGTGATTCTCCCACCTCCTGATCTGGGAGCAGCGAATCATGCCTTGCACTTGAGCAACTGCGCAATCTAGCAGCAGGAGCCTTGCTTGTAAAACGCGCCTGTGTGAGCAAGTTCAACTCTCCACTTTGCATCGCAGGAGCCACCAAGAGCAGAACCATCAGAAGACTTAGAGGTCTCTTATTTCAAAAACTCTCCCTTAAGTCTTAAACTTGACGCTGGGCTGGTTGGTTTTAGGGTGTTGTGATCCAAGTCTTTTTGGATAGTTCAGGGATTCTCAATTTTTTTCAGTGGTTTTCTAAAAACAATGCATGATTTTTTTTGTGAGATCGTCTCCCAATAATTGATAAATAATTGGGAGCTGCCAAGCACCATTCCCGGGTCTGCAGCAAAGGCGCTGGGCGTCTCCCGCGATGCAAAGTGCCCCGCCATTCACGCCGCCGCCAATGCCGCTGCCCGTCCGCAGCATTGGCAAGCTATTCCACTGATTAATTACGCTCACTGTCAGGCAATTTCTCTTTAGAGATCCAGATTACATCTTTCTTTGACAAGTTTCCACCATTACTTCTTGTCCCACCCTCTGGTGCCCTAGAGAATAAGTAAATCCCCTGGTTTTTATGACAACACTTCAAGTACTAGAAGGTTAAATATGCCTAGATCCCTCAACCATTTGTCTTATGATTTAGCCTCTAGACCCATTATCATTTTTGTTGCTCTTCTCTGCACACTTTCCAGATCACAACTTCTTTTTTTCTATTGTGGTGACCAGAACTGAATGCAGTATTTTAAGTGTAGTCTCATCAGCATGGTGTAAAGTACTGCTATTATTTCTTACCAGAACTGTTAATGGATTTTTTGGCAACTGCAGCACACTGCTGGCTCCTGCTTAAATGACGGTTCACTAAGACATCTCAGTTCCAGGTACCACCTATTCTATATCTGTACAAGATGTTTCATCTAAATAAGCAATATAAAGAAAGTGAGAATTACAACCAAATGAGAAGGTCAAGAAAAATTAGAAAAATACAAAAGAAACAGGTTGACCAAAACACAAAAGTAAGAAGATCTAATAGAGAAAGAAGATATCCAGACTGGGGGGGCAATATGCTGACTCTGTAAACCGCTTAGAGAGGGCTGAAAGTCCTATGAAGCAGTATATAAGTCGAACTGCTATTGCTATTGCTATATAAAAGAGAAACACAGGGTACATGATATATTTGAAAGTTTATTCATTGAACTAGAACACTTCTTATGAATGAAGATGAATATACATGTCCCAAGGTAATGTTGCAGGATCCAATCTGGTATGGTCACCGGGATCAGAATTTGATCTTCTGAGTGTAGAAAGTTAGCACTCAACCCTGTCCTAGAATAATGAAATATTCTAAGAAATATTAAAAAGGAAAAATATTATATTTCCCTGAATGGAGAAACATTTTTCTTAGGCAGGAATCAGACTCACTCTTAATAGCCTGCACCCTCCTTAATAGCTCATAGCAGATGTCAGCCCTTAATAATAGAGATAAAGAGATGGCTAGGTCTATTCATAAGCAAATACCCTCAACCAAGATCCAACAAAGGTAGAATTAGCCCTCAGTTAGAATTAGCCCTCAGTTATAATAGGAATTGCCCAAAGCTCCTTCATTACATCACCCAAAAACATTCAACCAAGCTGGGGACACAGACACCCTACAAAGTGAGCTAAGATCCCCGCCTCCTGGGAGTCTGACAGCCAATAGGATACTTGCGCTTGCCACAGGAACAGAAAGCTCAAGTTCAAAGCCCAAAAGAGAGTGTAAAAAACACCCACCCTCCACTCAATGTGGTCAGCTATCCAGGACTTCAAACCCATGTGGTGCTGTTCACCTTTAAACTATACTTCCGAACAGTCTCCATGTTTCCAGTGTCTTTCTCCCCACTTAGAACTGAACTCAGCTAGACATTTCTTCCAATACGAGCTTTCAGACTGGAGCCCATCTTCAGAGGAGTGGGGCAATAAGATGGGCTCCAGCACGAGTCCGAAAGCTCGAAAGACTAAACCTCTCGTCCCGGATTGGATCCTAGAGCACTTCTGGAAAGTAAAGTTAAATGAGTCTTAAAATACATTGCTAAGAGCAAACTGCAAGATTAATAAATTACCAATACCTCCATTTAAAGTCTTACAAAATATTAAACTATTCCATGCATTTTGTGAGCAGGTATAGTAAATTGAGTAGTAGTCAAAAGACTGGGAAATACTCAGAGGTGGGTTCCTACCAGTTCGCACCTATTCAGTAGAACCGGTTCGTCAAATCTACCGAACCGGTTAGAAGAGGTTCCACCAGTGGAC